TCAGCTAGGTGGGTCAGCAAACCTAGCTCCAAGTGCCCAGAGGCACCCTACCTGACCAGCAAGCCTCCTGCCCAAAGGCGCTCAGCTTTCTTGCTCCATGGGCCAGGAAGCCCACTGCGCTGTCTCCCACCTCTGTTGCCACCATTTCTCTACCATCACTTCTCACCTTCTTCAGTGTTATAGCTCTCTCTCAGTCTCCTAGTTCCAGAAGCTTCTCAGCGCAGGGATCCCGGATCCAAACGACATGCTCTGCTCCTGGCTCTTCTTTCTTGGTGATGGTGAGATTCTCCCTTCCTGCCTCTGGGTTGGCTCATTTTAAGCCTAGTGGGATGGCAAAACTGGCCAATCCCCTCATTATAGTTCTATAAACCTTATCTGCATGGTCTCACCCCCACAAGGGTGCCAGGTACCTTATATACATTATTAGCAAGCTATCCAATCCTCTTGGTGGGTCACAAGCACTTCATTTGCATAGTCTCACACAGTCATTTGGTGGGAGTTATTAGAGTATGGCTATGAGTGCCATTTAAGTAATTTACTGCACTGCAGAGGGACAGGGAAGCTAGAGTAATGGAAACTGAACAAACAGAATGGAAATAATGAAAAGGTTGGCACGCTGTGAAAAATGTAACCAATGTCATGGAACAATTTGTATAAAAATTGTTAAATGGGAACCTAATCTGCTATGTAAATTTTCACCTACAACACAATAAAATATTAAAAAAGAAAAGAAAAAGATTAGTAAAATGTAGATACCCGCTGAAGCTGGTGATGGGTCTTCTCAAAGAGGTTCAGTTTATATACTTCTCTCTACTGTTATGTATGTTTGAAAATATTATCATGCAAAGTTTAAAAATAACAGGAAAGCAGACTACAAAAATATGAGAGGGGCGGTGGATAGGGATGCCAAGTTTGTGCTGTCTCTGTTGGATGTGAAAACAGTTCAGTCCCAGCAGGTCTCTGCACAGTGGAGCCAAGAATGTATCCAGTGGGCTGGCCCAGAATGTGACCTACTCAAAGGTGTCAATGTCCCTTTCAGATGAGGATATGAGAAATCAGAATGATGATCTATCTAAATCCTGTAGCACTTCTAATTTTAGTATCTCTGCCTAAAGAATTTGCTTCTAAACAAGAGCAAAAATGAAGCATTCTTAACAAAATGAACTATTTTTAAGACTGTGGATCCTAACCTTCTGCAGGTCACAGATGCCTCTGAAAACGTGATGAAACTTATAAACCATCTCCCTCAAAGAATGTATACACGTTTTAGGCCAAAATCAACATGAGGAGGTGACCACCTTCATGGTCTGGGACGGCAAAGGCAAGATGAAGTTCCCAAAGATGACAATGACAACTACTATGCTAGCTTAGGATTTCCAAAGTCCATGGGATGCACTAGGAGTGGAGACGTAATCAGGGATTTGTGCTGTTCCTGTCACTTCTCCCTCAAAATCCCTTAGAAGAGGGGTTGGGCAGAGAATGCCCTTGAGAATCGCTGCAACAGAAACCAGGGTGTAAAGTCTGTCCCAAAGGCCAGCACCCTGCATGCATGTTCTTATTAAGTTGGAGCTCCCTTTCTGAGATTATCCACCCATGCCCCCTGCAGAGTCTCTCAAGAAGGTGCTAATGTTGACTCCCAGAGCCCTTGAACCCAAATTTTAACACCCAGGTGTCTACCCCAGCAGGCTGCACCTACAGGCCAGTCTCCTTCAGCTCAAGGGCAGGAATCAACTCAACTGACCGACATGCAGCATGTCAGCAAACCTCCTCTGTGCTCTTGTCCCACGGCCAGGACAGGGCAGGCCTTAAACACCCACCTCCAGCCCAGCAGTCCCTCCAAGTGCCTGCCAATCATCGAGTATTACTGTCCTGGATACCACGCGGTAAAAACACATTTCAAATAAAGGTGGCATCACTTAGGCATCCACTGGTCTAGGAAACACAGAGCTATTATGCCTCTTTAAAAAAAAAAACTTTTTCAAATAGCTTCCAGCAGCAGTAGCCATGACAGCTGAACCAACCTGTAACAGTTCTATAACCATACAGCCCATAGTATACATCTCCCACCCACAAACCACTCACTTGATTTCAAGCATTCATAAGCACATGACATTCCTCAGCCTACTTTTTTTTTTTTTTTTAACCTTGCATACAAGGTGTCATTCAGGTGCTATTATCTCTAAATGCAAACATGACTTAAAATGACCTGATGGTCCCATAAAATGTTATGTTTGAGAAAAGGAAGGCAAAGAAATATACCTGGGCACAAGATGACAGCCTTTGATTCTGAAATCTAAGTTTTATTTTAGAGATGATCTTGCAGCAATTGTCTTTAGAGATCTCTGACACCCAACACAACAAAAGCAGGGACCGTTTTCACAGGCCAATTCTTTTTGAGCAGTCCATCTGTTTCTAGAGCAGGAAAATAAACTAGATTTCATCTCACAGGAAATCAGGCCTCACCTTGCTCTAAGATCAACATGGCTCCCAGGCTGCCAAGGAGACGGCCAAGGCCTCAGCTAGATCCTCTCCCCTGCTGAGCACCAAAGTTCAGACCAAATGTGGCATTCTTTTTTTTTTGTACTTTAAAGGTTTACAGAGCAAATTAGTTTCTCATTAAACAATTAATACATATATTGTTTTGTGACATTGGTTGCCAACCACACAATATGTCAACACTCTCCCCTTCTCAACCTTGGGTTCCCCACTACCAGCTTTCCTGTCCCCTCCTGCCTTGTAGTCCTTTGCCCCTGGGCTGGTGTGCCTATAATGTCTCATTTTGTTTTATCGGCCTGTGTAGTCTTTGGCTGAAGGGTGAACCTCAGGAGTGACTTCAGTACTCAGCTATAAGGGTGTCCTGGGGCCATACTATCGAGGCTTCTCCAGTCTCTGTCAGACCAACAAGTCTGGTCTTTTTGTTGTTGTTCTACCTTTTTCTCCAGCTCTGTCCAGGACCCTCTATTGTGATACCTGTCAAAGCAGTCGGCGGTGGTAGCCGGGCTCCATCTAGTGGTGCTGGACTCAGTCTGGTGGAGGATGTGGTAGTTGGGGTCCATTAGTACTCTGGACTAATCCTTCCCTTGCGTCTTTGGTTTTCTTCATTCTCCCTCTCTCCCGAAGGGGTGAGACGAGTGGAGTATCTTAGATGGCTGCTCACAAAGAAGGATGTAGAACATTTTCTTTATAAACTATGTTATGCCAATTGAGTTAGATGTCCCCCGAGACCACAAAGGTGGCATTCTTAATGAAACAGAACCTAGCGGCTACTAGCAGTCACAGAAACATATCCACTCAAAGGGACCCAATGGAAGCAGCCGCCCTTTGACAAAGAGACCCCAAGATTCAAGGCACAGAAAAGGCCAAATTAATAGTGATGACAACCCAAGTGGCACAATACAGTTCATAAAGTTTATGTTGTAGATCCTGGTTTGGAGAGTAGTGTCTGGGTTTCTGAAAGCCTGAGAGCAGCCATCTAAAATACAACTACTGGTCTCCACTCATCTGGAGCTAAAGAGAAAGAAAGAAACCAAAGACTCAACAAAGAAACTACAGGTTTAACAGTCGACATGAACCACTGCCTCATCTACCCTGAAACCAGAAGATCTAGATGGTGCCCGGCTACCAATAACGACCATTCTGATCAGGTCCACAACAGATGGATCCTGACGGAATGTGAGAAAAATGTGGAACAGAACCTCAAATTCCTTACAAAAAAAAAAGCAGGCTTACTGGACTGGTTGAGACTAGAGGACTCCCCGAGACTATTGCCGTGATATATTTTTTAAATCTTGAACTGAAACTAGCCCCTGAAGTCACCTTTTAGCTAAATAACAGACTGGCTTACAAAATAAAAAATATCACCTGTGAGAATACTATGCTCCCTTAAAAAATCACCTATATGAGACTAAACAGTCAACAGCTACTTTAAAACAAAGATGAGACTATAAGGGCGAAGGGAAACTACATTAGTGGCAAGGAAACGGAACTAGAACGAAAATACTGAGCATGTTCATGCATTGTGAAGAACGTAACCAACATCACTAAACAATTTGTTTAGAAATTGTTGAATGAGAACCTAAACTGCTATGTAAACCTTCACCAAATCACAACAAATTATTATTTACCAAAAAAAAAAAAAAAATGGTGGTGACATCTGTTGAGACTGTCCTCTGTGCCAGACACAGAGCACCTTATATACATCGTCTCCTTTAATTCTCCCAACAGCCCTATAAGCGTGGCCAAGCGAGCTGAGCGCCTCTGGAATCCTCCCTCTGACCACACCATACTGCCTTCCAACTCCTGCTTTCGGCTGGCTGCTTGACCTGAAAATCAAGACATGGCTACCAACGCCTATAAATACTCATCAGGCAAAGATGCCAAGAAGAAATTCTGTCACTAGCCATGACTTACATTAAGCAAACACGTGAAGAAACGGGGTCTTAAAGGGAAAAGCCCTTATAGGAAATACAGAGAAATTAGAAAGAAACCTGCAAGAAATTTACTTTCAAATACAAGAGAAATACATAATTATCTAAAATGTCATTTATACAGAAACTACATGAGATGATTTTAAGGCATTTAAGATATAAAAGTGTCATCTTAGGACCGCTGGGACACGAGAGCCTCACGAATATCCATTCTTTTCCACGCACTTTCGTCTCTTCAAAGTGTGTATCCTAAAGTAGCCCTTACTGAGATCCTGAAACTGGTACAAGTGCCGCTTCAGATCTTCGCAGGGTGAAACGCTGTCTAGCCCAGGGGCCAAATGCCTTGAGTGCGCTGGACACCAAGCAAGCCAGGGAAGCACCTCCAGAGATGTTGTTTTTGTTGGGCTGGTCCTGTCAGCCAGGCTTTGTTGGATGCACGGGCACTCGGCAGTTTTGAGCTTCTCAATGCATTCCTTCCGCCGGCTCCTCGGACACACGCACTTACCTGAACTGCCAGGAAGCATCCAGAGCAACACAGCAAACATGAGGAGACAGGGTCCTGGCGAGCCTTACCTTATGTACACTTTTGGGGTTTTCCAACCAAGCATAGTACATTTCCTCCACATAGTTTGAACTAGTCCCACTCAAGAAGGGCTCAGCAGCGACAGGTGCAGTATAGCATCGAATCTGTTGAAATGTCCTAGCTGCTGCTGGTCTGTTTTGTGAAAATGTCTTAACAGTCTGGGAGGCTGTCAACGGCCTCAACTTAGCAGCACAAGTCCTTAAATGAAACATTTTTGTCCGAAGCCTCTCACAACTGCCTGGACAAAAAAAAAAAAAAAAGAGAGAGAGAGAATTTTAGGAGATAAGGCTACTCAAAAGACTTGCCAGATGCTGATTATTTAGAAGAAAGATTTGGTCTGTAAATGTATTTGCACCGTTGTGCCATCCGCATCAGTGCCTAAATTCATGTCACAGCAAAGCAGTGATTAAGTCAAACCAAAACCAAGAAATATTTTAGTAGCTACTAGGTACAATGCACTGTGCCAGACAGAGGAAGATGGATACACAGCACATAGGTTATGATCTGCACTTAGTAGTTTAAAATCTAGCTTGAATGATAAAATATAACACTCTATGATGACAAATGTATGAAGCTCTTTAAGTCTATACATTTTGTAAAAACAATTCTAAAAAAGCAATAAAAATTAATTTAAGGATTAAGATTAACTTCAATATGAAAAAGACATTTTTTAATCTACCCACACACTACTGAGCACCTGCTATACTCACGGTATTCTGGAAAATACAGAGAAATTAGAAAAACATTTTGCTTGCCCCCAAATAATTTAACATTGAGCAGAGGATAAAAAATATAAACAATATCACAGAGAAAGCACTGAGTGCTTGGAGAGAACAGAATATGATAAGGAAATTCCGTGGAAGCACTCACTCCTTCCAGGTTGGAGGGAGCGGGGCAGCCAAGGAAGGCTTGGGAAGGCTGCAGCTTTGAGTTGGGCCTGGAGGACAGGAAGGACTTGGCCATGAAGGGAAGGGAAGGGACAGGCACCATAAATGGAAGAACCAGGAGGACAGAAGACAGAGAGACAACAGAGTGTGAAGGAACGTAAGGGGAAGAACAGGAACTGCTGAGTACTGAAAGGGAGGGGTGAGGACAAGCTGGAGAGGGGCCTCAGAGGGGCCTGACGCCACTGAGCTGACAGCCCCAGATCAATGGGGAGCCCAAGAGGTTCCGAGCTGGGAAGCAATGGGCTCCACAAAGGTTAAAAAGAAAAGTACTTACGCCGATTATTTGATAAATGTCTACCTCCTCTGTGCCACTCTATGGTAAGCAAGTGTACATGTTATGACTCCTTACATAAATCCCACAAACTCCCTAGCAGGTTGGCATTAGCCCTTCCATTGTGAGTTTCTTAAATTTCCCCAAGTTCATCTGGATGTTAGTAGCAGAGCCAGGCCTCCAAGGCCAGCCTTCTTGCCTGCAAAGTCCATGTTGTCCCTTCCCAAGGAGCTGCCCACCCTCTGGCAGAGGAAAGAAGAGGAAGGGCTGAAGGTGGGATGCTATTTAAACAAGAGACTGAGGCAAAAGGGCATGAAGGCCTTGACGAGAAGTGGGAACAGAGGGGAGGGGATCCAAGACATGTGGAAGGACAAAAATGTTGACACATCTACTATTTGCTTCTGATATGAATAAACATTGTGCTCAATTTTCATACTTTCACTAAATCTAATCTATAACTCTATCAAAATAACCATTTTCATAAAAGAAGTTTGTGTATCCCCTAGAATATGAAAGAGTTTGGACAGTCTAGACTGTTCCCAGAGGGCCTAGGATGCTGTGTGCAAGCAGTTTTAAGACGCCAGCATGCCTCTAGGTAGCGGCCACCTCTCTGAGGAGGGGAGAACGAAGACCCTCACAGGTCCCAGCTGCCAAAGGGCAACCTTGTGGTCACGGTGTAAGGGGTCAGGAGAGTCTCAGCCTCGGGCAAGTGAGCGAAAGCCACTGAGTAGGGCAAGAGGCTAACTGAACACAAGAAGGACGTTCACCAAGAGGAGGGCGCTGCCCGGGTCTGGGGTGTGTAAGGCAAAAAGGAAGTGACAGACGACCAGCTGAGGACTGTCGGAGAACAGGGCGCAGAGCCACACCCTCGACAGAAGGGTGATGGCTTCGCTGGCCGTAGAGAGCCTAGCTCAACAGATACGTGGTAACTTTTGTGAAGGATAAGACAGTACACAATACTGGGGAAGCCAGCACAACTTGTACAAGGCAAGGTGATGGAAGCTCTACAGACACATCCAAACTCCCTGAAGGACCGAATTACTGGGCTGAGGGCTGTGAGGACCATGATCTCGGGCAACATCTAGCTCAACTGGCATAAAATACTTTATAAAGAAAATGTTCTACATTCTACTTTGGTGAGTAATGTCTGGGGTCTTAAAAGCCCATGAGCAGCCATCTAAGATACTCCACTGGTCTCACCTCTTCAGCAGCAAAGGAGAATGAAAAAAACTAAAGACACAAGGGAAAGATTAGTCCAAAGGACTAATGGACCACAACTACCACAACCTCCACCAGCCTGAGTCCAGCACAACTAAATGGTGCCTGGCTACCACCACCAAGTGCTCTGACAGGGATCACAATAGAAGGTACCAGACAGAGCTGGAGAAAAATGTAGAACAGACGGACTTACTAGCCTGACAAGAGACTGGAGAAACCCTGAGAGTATGGCCCCAGCCACTCTTTTAGCTCAGTAATGAAGTCACTCCTGAGGTTCATCACCCTTCAGTCAAAGATTAGACAGCCCCATAAAATAAGACTAAAAGAGCACACCAGCCCAGGGGCAAGGACGAGAAGGCGGCAGCAGGGAACCCAAGGTCGAGAAGGGAGAGTGTTGACATGTTGTGGAGTTGTTAACCAATGTCATAAAATAGTATGTGTACCAACTGTTTAATGAGAAGCTAGTTTGTTCTGTAAACCTACATCTAAAGTACAATTAAAAAAAAAAAAAAAAAGGGCCTGGCCCAGCAGCAGGCACTGGCGACATAGCCATCTTTCTTCCCAGGCTCAGAGGGGAGGAGGGTGCCATCAAGTTGTAAAGTCAGAATTACATCCCATGCCGAAGGAAATCCAAGCTCTGAAACATGCTCAACTGACCCATGAAGCAAGGATACATAAGAATATCTGCTCTATTACTCACAAGTACCCTTCTCCCCGGCCCAAGGGTGATCAGACTACTCCGAAGAGATGCTCAGCAGCAGGCCGAGCCTCTCTCCTCTGGCCTGCCCTACTGCCAGAGAAGATGGCAGCAAAGGAACCTAACAAACAAAAACTTGCTTCTTAAACATTAATGATGAACAAGCAATGTATTCTGGATTTAGGTATGGAATGCAATTTTAACCCGAGTTTTACCTTAGAAACTGCAGGTTTTAAGTTACCTCCAATAGTTCACCCTGCCTACAACTATACACCAACTTTTTCCACTAATAACATTTAAGGCAAGCAACGAGCACTAACACTGATGGCAAAAAATACTACTGATTTCAATGCTACTTTTTTATTATTGAGGTCCAAAGGAAATATTCATTTTTTTCTCTGTCATTACTATCCAGGCAGCTTGAAACACTGCCACTGTCTCCGAGTTGGGCTTTTCTTCCTAGGACATAGCAGCACCACCTCCATTTCTTGTCTATCATTATTCAGTTGCTGCAATAACTGAATTAACAGACACTGCACTAACAATCACAAATTGTTTTTCCCAAACTCGTCCTTTCAATCTGGTACTGTAAATAAACTGTGATACTTAGCTATCTGCAGTCACTGAGTCTAACAGTTCCCAAGAGAGCTAGCAATCTTCAAGCTTCCCTTAGAACAACTCCTGTAAAGTTTCCCTGCAAGAGACACTCAACATCCTCCCTATCTCCACCCAAGGATGGCCAGGAAAACCCCAGGGCTGAGAGCCTCTCATTATACTTACATTTCAGTCTCTTGTAAAGAGCAGACCATCCTTCATCTTTCTCTCTTATGTAATGTTGTGAAAAGGTATCAAACACTCATTCGAAAGAAAACTGCTAGTCAATCAATCTTATGACCCAATTCTAGATTTCTCTGATATGAAGTCAACTTCCACAACAGCACATCATTTGGTAGACACTTTCAATTTTTCAAACACTTCCACAAAAGCTTTGGGTTGTCCAAAAAGTCTGAGTGCTTTGATTTTTGGTTTAAAAGAATATGTCTATTAAATAGGAGCCAAGACAATTCAATGAGGAAAGAAAAATCTTTTCAACAAAATGCCTACACAACTGGATATCCACACGCAGAAGTTAGATCCCCTACACCTCATATCACACACTCAAAATGGATCAAAGACCTAAATGTAAGAACTGAATTCATAACACTCTTAGAAGTTTTAAAATTCTAATTTATAACAGAGTGAATCTTTCTTACTTTGCGTCAGGCAATGGTTTCTTAGATATAACACCAAAAGTACAAGTGACAAAAAGAAAACATAAACTCGATTTCATCAAAATTAAAAACCTTTGTGAGTCAAAGGGCAACATCAAGAAAAGTGAAAAGCAAAAGCAACTTGAAAGATTAGATAGGAAACTTAGGGGGGCAGTGAGTTTATGTTAATGGAGGAGGAACAACTCAGCAAAGGAGGGTGAGAATGGCTGCACAACTCAAAGAATGTAATCAATGTCACTGTATTGTACATATAGAAACTGCTGAATTGGTGCATGTTCTGCTGTGTATATTCTCAACAACAACAACAAAAATTATTTTTAAAAAAGAAGTGAAAAAACCCACGGAATAGGAGAAAATATTTGCAAATCACTTATCTGATAAGGGACTGGTACCCAGAATATACAAAGAACTCATAATTCAAATAAAATAGACAAATAACTCAATTAAAAAATACGCAAAGCACTTGAATAGATTCTCCAAAGATATACAAATGGCCAATGAGCACATGAAAACATTTTCAACCTCATTAGTCATCAGAGAAATGCAAATCTAAACCACAATGAGATAACACTTCACACCAGGGCTTCGAATCAGTTCTTCCTGGTTCAATCATGGCCAAGAAGAGACACTGAACAGACAAGGTTTCTTAAATTTTGGTGAGCTGGAACCATAACTGAAACAAGAAAAATTACAGGTCGAAGTCCTGCTAGAAACTTAATCTCCCTCTTAGAAAACAAGGGCAGCATATGCATTGCATAGCAACCAAATCTCCTGCCCACAGGATTTTGTGCAGAGTTGGAGTGCACAAAACGGAGTCGGAATGCAGCGGTGTCC